GCAGCTGGAGCAGAAAGGTACTGGACCAGGATCAAGAAGCTCACATGCTATAACCCTTATAGGTGAAAAGGTTTATGCATTTGGTGGCGAGTTCACACCTCGTGTCCCTGTGGATAACAAACTATATGTGTACGATCTCAATGACAAAACATGGTCGATTGCTGATGCAACCGGGGAAATTCCTCCTCCTCGTGTTGGTGTTACAATGGTATCAGTTGCAGAGACAATATATGTTTTTGGTGGAAGGGATGCTACACACAAGGAGCTTAATGAACTCTACAGTTTCGACACGGTTACAAACAAATGGACCCTACTTTCGAGTGGTGCGATGGGGCCCCCACACCGCAGTTACCATTCGATGACCTCAGATGACCGGCGAATATATGTCTTTGGCGGCTGTGGGGATGCTGGACGGCTTAATGATCTATGGGCTTATGATGTTCTTGATGGAAAATGGATCAGTTTTCCTGTGCCAGGGGAGAATTGCAAGCCTAGGGGTGGACCTGGACTAGTTGCAGTTCTCAGGAAAATTTGGGTCGTGTATGGTTTCTCTGGAGTGGAGCTTGATGATGTACATTACTTTGATCCAAATGAAGAGAAGTGGGTTGAAGTCGAGACAAGTGGAGAAAAGCCAACACCTCGAAGTGTATTCTCAACTTTTGCGGTTGGGAAGTATATATTTATATATGGTGGAGAGATTGATCCAAGTGATTTAGGCCACCTTGGTGCCGGAAAATTTTCTGATGAAGTCTTTGCACTTGATACTGAGACGCTAGTGTGGAAAAGATGGGGAGATATCTTGACTGCTGATTACCATCCGGGGCCACGAGGATGGTGTGCATTTGCAGGTGGGCAACGAGATGGCCAAGAGGGATTATTGGTGTATGGTGGGAATTCTCCTAGTAATGATCGACTGGGTGACATTTTCTTCTTCACTCCTTCGTTTGATGTGAATGGAAAATGATGAGAATCGAGATGTTTTTCCATATATGATGATTTAGTTGCAGAGAAACGGATGATGATGTTTCTTTTAGTGTGCATTGTGCTTGTAAGTTGCTTTCTAGAGCAATGAATAAAAATGGAATTGTTGTATCAAAACTATGGGGCGCCGGGGTGTAAGACTTATTTTCAGTTTTATTAGTGTTTCGTACTTTTTCACATATCTTGCTAGAAATTGAATGAATCGACACACATTCTAAGAATTTCTGCATCTATGAAGAGCACGCGACGCAGTTTTCTCTTTATTTCTTTTACGTCTTTATGCTTCTGGTTAGCCTTAGTAACAGTGAAGATGCCCACATTGCCTTCAAAAACCGTGCAAGACCAAACCAGACCAGGCAACCTTAGAAAAAATCAGTTGTCTTTTTGTACAAAATTTGTAGAAAAATCTGTACTTATAACATTATTTTCTGAAAAATTATGAATTTCTATATCAAAGCTGCTATAGCAACAAGGTTTGCCATCAAGGTTTCAATTCGAGGTACACTTGTCAAATGGTGATCGGATAGTTTAAAACGAAAAAAGAATACACAACTTACTAGGAGCTGACGCTCAATAATTGGATGCAAAACCTGTTTAGTGGCCTTGTCAGAGTAGTTTAGTTCTTTCTCTATAGGCATATAAACCTTTATACAACAGTCAGGGAAACTTGGAGAGGAGGCTCCAAACCTTTTAATTTATTGCAAAATATACCTTACTCTTTTATTTTTTAGACCACAGTCCCAAACTTTTTACTTCAATGACAATGGGACTGCATTGGACGGATTCCAATAGTGATGGCAATGGGGCGGGGTGGAGTGCGGCGGCGCAGGGCAACTTTTTGCCCTGTTTGTTGTCCCGTTTAATTTTTTTTACTTTTTATTTTTTTTACATTTTCAAAGTTTCAAATTATGTTATTATTAGAGAATAAAATACAAATTTAAAATGAGTTTTTAACAATGAATTGTTTAGAAATAAAATTATTTTTAATTTTTTTTTTTTAATTTTTTCTTCACGAGACGAGTTCGAGGCGAGGCGACCATTTACGCACGGGACGGATTTTTTTGCCCCATTAGGGACGAGGCGGTACCGGGACGGGGTAAATTGCCAATTCCATCCAATATTTCGTTATTCAATCAAGAAATTAGATATTCGATTCAAATTATCAAATTAAAATTGAGGAGTAAAATAATAAATTTAGATTTTTATAGAAACATAATTAAAAAAAATTAAAATAGAAAACAAAAAATTAAATAAATAAATAAACTATTCATCTTCTTCAAATCCCCCCTCCTCCCAACCTCACCTATTCCCAATGCAACCACCAAAAACCAGAAAATCAGTCACTATCAGCCACTGTCACCGACCAGCAACCGCAGCATCGTAAACTCTCTGATCCTTATCACAAAGTTATATGTTAAACTTCTTCATAACTTATTTCATTTGTACCCTCAAGTTCTTTTAAATTGGGTGAAATCTACCAAGCCCCATGTCTATTTTCTCCACCCACATTAACTAGTAATCTCCAAGTCCGATCTGTTGACACCCCCAAATCACACTTCAAAGATTCTCTACACCTACAATCGCGCCATGAAGGGATTCTTGGATCGGCTCACCGTTGACCAAGCCGCCAAGATCAGCCATGGAACTCACCGCTGACTAAGCCACCACGACCATGTCGTGCTCTGCAGGTAACCAGGTAATTTCGGCCCTGATCCATATATTGGTGGTGGTAGTACCGTATCTGGGCTTGGATAATTGTTGCTTGAAAAGCTTTCGGTTGATTGTGGTAAAAAATCGAAGTCGGGTTTTAGTATTTACCCTTCTCCTCGGCTTTCAACTACCGTTGTTGAGCCTTATAATCATGTGCTTTCGACTCATTCTCCTTTGGAGCACACTGATGTTAATGTGAATGAAGTTTATTTCAATGATGTTTGGCTATGAAGTATGCGTTGGAAAATGGTTAGTTGCATTAAATTGAAAAACTGTAAAATTCAAAAAGTAGAACTTAT